CCACCCCCAATCGGCCCACCCTGAGCGTGACGATGTAGAGGTGGCATTGCAACCTCCTGATCCGCCCTGCTCTGTGCATGACAGGGGGCGGCGCCCCAACTCCCCAATCAGCCCTGCTCTGAGCCCGACCAGGGGCTGCACCTAGGGATTGGGCCTGCCCTCTGCCACCCAGGAGCAGGCCTAAGCCAGCAGGTCATTATCTCCTGAGGGGTCCCAGACTGCAAGAGGGCACAGGCCAGGCTGAGGGACCCTCCCCCCTCCCCCCGAGTGCACAAATTTTTGTGCACCGGGCCTCTAGTATATATATAAAAGCCTAAGCAGCTTTTACGACTGAACAAGGACCGGTCGACCAGTAGCTATGACACGCACTGACCAACAGGGGGCAGACGCTCAATGAAGGAACTGCCCCCTGGTGGTCAGTGTGCTCCCACAGCCAACCTCATGTGCCCAGCCTGGCGACCATTGCCTTCTCTCCCCACCCGACTGGGGCCTTTGGGCCCTGGGCTGCGACAGGGAACAGCAAGTGGTTGGCGGCAGACACAACCCCTTTCCCAGAGGGGCCAAGGGCCAGCTCCCTCCTTGGGGCTGGCGGCCAACCTCCCGCACCCCACCCCTCTCCCCAGCTGGCAGGCCCCAATTGGCACGGCTCTGATTGGCCCTGATCTCTGGCCAGGCCTAAGGACCCCACCTGTGCATGAATTTGTGCACCGGGCCTCTAGTATATTAATAACATACTAGGGAGACTGATTAAGAAAAAAGGATGTCACAAGTTGCTAACATCAGATGTAAAACAGGGAACAATCTACAGACATTACACAAAAAGTAAGATGATAATGAATTTGAAAAGTTATATGGAATGGACAAGTTTCATGACAGATATAAATGAAATGGTACAAGAAAAAGTTAGAAGAGCCATATCTAAAAACTTTTCCCACAAAAATAACATCAGACTAGATAATGTCACTAATAAATTGGATCAAAGTTTTATGGGACAAATAATACAAACTCATACACTTTTCAGAAAACAGAGGCAGAGGGGACACTTTCCAACTAATTTTGAGGCCAGAATTCCTCTGATAACAAAACTAGTCAAAAACATTACAAAATATGTTTGGTCAATATAGGTCCAAAAGTCCTTAACATATTATTTGCAAGTCAGATATAGTAATATATAACAAGGATAATACATAACAACCAAATATAGTTTATCATAGGAATATAAAGTCGCTTTCACACTTGCAAATCAAAGAATGTAACTCATGACATTAACATAATAAATGGAAAATATATTGATAAAATACTAAGTTAAAATACATAGAAATAAAATACTAAGGTAAAATATATTGAAATAACCCTATTTTTCAATTCTTAATATGGAAAAATCTTTGCTACACAGTGTTACACAGTGTTAAATTAATAATATTAAGATAAAAATTATTTCTTTTTTCTACTAAATTAGAGAAAGGAGGTAATTCACAAAATAGTAACAATGTTTAACTCTTAACTGGCTGTATACTTTCTCCTCTGGAACTTCCATTATTTCCTAACTTTCACCATGCCATACTTCTTGTTTCTTTGTAAATTTATTTTGGGTTAAGATGAAGGCATCTATTTAAAATCTAATGCTTCTTACTATCATCAAAACAAATAGTTATTTTTAAATACATTGCCAATATCCTAATCTTATCAATATTTTTAATATCCCATAGCTTAAACAACTTAAAAATCAAACAAGAGAAGACTTATACTTTAAAAGTTCACTCTTCCACCTTAACTGATTTGGCTCAATGGATAGAGCGTCAGCCTGCAGACTGAAGGGTCCTGGGTTCGATTCCAGTCAAGGGCACATCCCCAAGTTGCGGGCTTGATCCCCAGTAGGGGGTGTACAGGAAGCAGCCAATCAATGATTCTCTCTCATCATTGATGTTTCTACCTCTCTCTCTCCCTCTCCATCCTCTCTGAAATCAATAAAAATATTTTTTTAAAAAGGTTCACTTTTCCGATGTTAAATACAGCTTTAATTTAGAACCAAAGAAAAATAATCAATAAAATTGTTTTTAAGGGGGCCCTGACCGGTGTGGCTTAGTTGGTTGGGCATCATCCCATGCCCCAAAAGGTTGCTGCTTCAGTTCCCCGTCAGGGCACATTCCCAGGTTGTGGATTTAGTCCCAGGTCTAGGGTGATTACTGGGGACAACCAATCGATGTTTCTCTCACATTGATGTTACTCTCTCTATCTCTCCCTCTCCCCGGTGCCTCTAAAATCAATAAAAACATATTAAAAAACAAACAACTGTTTTAAGGGGTAAAAAAGCACAGAAGAGAAAAGAAATCTGAAGCATCAAATCTTTGACTCTGCAACTTAATAAAAACAATCCATAATTGTGTGACATGTAATTAACATCATCTATACTATTACAACATCAATGACAATGTCTCGGCTCACTGGGTCCTTTCAGTTCAGGTTGAATTTCCCAGTAAAGGATGGTAGGTAAAATCTTAAAATCTACCTGTCAAATGATGGCTTCTCTCCACAGTCAAAGGCATCCTGGAGCTCCTTGACAAGGTTAGCCTGGCCTGGCAGCCGGAAGAGCCCCTCTTCCTTCAGCCCCCTCTGTCGGATGAAGTCCACGCACTGCTCCACCAACATGGGAGCCAGGCGGTTCCCATATCTCTTCTCATAACGGACAGTCTCCTCCAGTTTCTGCCCAAAAATGCCTGAAGAAATAAAAAAAATCACAATGAATTTAAGAAATGTATCTCTTCCCACTCTGATGCTTTCTTTTAAAACTCAGTGTAAAGGAAAAAGAAAGATTGGAATGCTAGCAAGCATTTCACACTTGGTACCTCACATTATTACAGAATCAAATTCAAGAAAAATACCTGTTGCATGTTCAAGTTATGTAATACCCCAGCGATGGGTGGGGAATTATTTTAAATTGCAAAAGAGAGTAAAATAGCATATCTTTTTTGCGCTCCAAAGTGGTAATGACTGAACTGTCCCTGTGTATGCCATGCAGCGTATCAGCATTTCTCTCATTTAAAACTCACAGGACTCTATGAGGAAAGCCTCACCAACATACAATTTTATTGAGGAGGAGACTAAAGCATAGAAAGACTGAATAATTTGCTGAATGTCACACAGCTAGTAAATGGTGGAGCCAGGTTTGTTCGAGGCTGTCGGATTCAGAGTCATTCTGTTGGTATAACACAGCAGCTATAACACAGTGCTGTGCAGTGTGCAGAATGACTAAAAACTGAGCCAGAGAGGAAGTAACCTGCCAGCTTGCTAGCTTGCCTACCTCAGTTCTTATTGTCATACTAGGATGGGTGATTTCTGCTGAGAAAATGTAAATTTATGAGAAGGTCAGAAAAATAAAGAATGAAGCAAAAAACTCTGAATATTTATGAGTATGCTACCCAAGGAAACTCTTTTTTTATGTGAAGAGCTATGCCTATTTAGCAATATCATATGTGAGAGTTATGGTATGTAGACAGTAGTAACATGTATTTAGAAATTCCTGTGGGAAATCATATTTTCTCCTCTAGATCTAGCCTTGCTAGGAATGATAATAGATGTACACTTCCCTTTCTGTAGCCTGGAAATAGGATGTCCCAAATGTCTCTGGCTTGCATGGTTGGCGTGAGTTAACCTCCTGTATAATAATTTTTTTTAGGAAAGTGAGGAGGGAAATTATTTTTTTAATATGTTTTATTTACGATTTTCTTTGAGGGAGCAGTGAAACTTTAAATTTTAAAATTAATAAAAAAGAACAAAGGTTATGAGCTATTCCCAACTAGCAGCATAGGAAAAAGACATATTGATTAATAGATTATTAAAGGAATATTCTCTGTTACGTGAGTCTGCAAACAGTTCCCGCTATGCCCATGTAAATTCCCAGTGAGGTTCATACTCCCTGATAAAATCCTGCCAGAATTTCTGGGGTGATGACAGTACATCATGCATACCTCCCCTAAAAGAACATTGTTGGTGCCATAAAGCATTACCGAGGACATGAGTTTTCATTGGACTGAGAAAGAAAATCACTCAGGTGAACTTATTATATCTGTGTGAGGCTGTTTAAACTGGAGGGAGAAGGAGAGGGGGAGGGGATGGAGAGGAAGAGGGAGAGGGAGAGGGAGAGGGAGAGGGAGAGGGAGAGGGAGAGGGAGAGGGAGAGGGAGAGGGAGAAGGAGAGGGAGAGAGAGAGAAGAGAAATCTAATCAACCTTCAGGGTTTGTGAGATTCCTCCTTTACTGTGATTTATAAACCGAATAGCTAGAGGCAGCCAGTTAATGAATGTGATCAGATAGATATATTCAAATTCCATTAATCCTAAAAACAAAGAAACAAATACAAGGCAAATCTTGGACTCTCTGCATCTGTAATTTTTCTCTTTGCTCCTAGTATCCCAGGTATTACTCTGGCTTCAGTTCATCCCTTTCTATCTTCTTGCTTACCTACTGCACTTTGGCCTATGATACCACCATGCCACTAAAATAGCTTTTTTAGCCCTGACCGGTTTGGCTCAGTGGATAGAGCGTCGGCCTACGGACTGAAGGGTCCCAGGTTCGATTCTGGTCAACGGCATGTATCTTGGTTGCGGGCATATCCCCAGTTGGGGGTGTGCAGGAGGCAGCTGATTTCTCTCTCATTGATGTTTCTAACTTTCTATCCCTCTCCCTTCCTCTCTGTAAAAAAAAATCAATAGAATATATTTTAAAAAATAGCTTTTTTAGCCTAGCTGGTTTGGCTCAGTGGGTAGAGCGTCAGTTTGTCGACTGAGGGGTCTCGGGTTAGATTCCAGTCAAGGGCACATGCCCGGGGTTGCAGGCTTGAGCCCCACTAGGGGGTGTGCAGGAGGCAGCTGATCAATGATTCTCATTGATGTTTCTATCTCTCTCTCCCTCTCCCTTCCTCTCTGAAATCAATAAAAATATATTTAAAAATAAATAAATAAAAGAGCTTTTTTAGCAACTTCCTAGTTGCCAAATCATTGACAGCTTAATTTATTTTTGTAATGCTTTATGCCCCACTCCCCTTAAAATTATCAATCTCACTCTTCTTCCTGATACTGTTCACATGTCACATAATTCTTGCCTTCCAGAATACTCTTCCTAGTCTCCTTTTTGATATGCTACCTACTCCCCCTTCTCATAGGTTTGCTGGTTCCCTGGGTTATGTCCTCAGCTCTGTTTTCACCTTAGTTGTCACAATTCCTTTGCTGGACTCCACTTAATTTCACTGCATATCAATTATTCCCAGATCTGTGTCTCAATTTGGGCCACTCTGTGGTCTCTAGCATTACATTTCTAAGTGCCCATTAGAACCCTCAACATGGATATCTCAAGTTCAAAATGTCTAAAACTGGCTAGCTAATCTTTTCTTCAAAACCTGTTCCACTTCCTATAGTTCTGATTTTAGTTATCAGTTCCAGCGATACACCCCCCAAATTATGGAAGTGCCATCTGAGAGCCAAGCTAGATTCCTCCCTCCTTCACTACCCTCATTCACTCACCAGGTTGGTCCTTTCCAGGGTCATTACTACTACAATGGGCTAGATCCTCAATACAGTGGGACCTTGACTTACGAGTTTAATTCGTTCCATGACCGAGCTCGTAACTCAAATTACTCGTATGTCAAATCAATTTTCACCATTACAATGAATTGAATGCTGGGCTGATGTTGTGGCGTTCACTGTGATGTTCGCTGCGCCAACTAGCGGTGGGTTATCTGAAGCTGGCTCGTAACCCGAATTTTAGCTCGCAACTCAAAGCAAAAAATCGGCCGAGAAACGCCTCGTATCTCAAAAAACTCGTTAGTCGGGACACTCGTAAGTCAAGGCCCCTGTATTTCCTAAATGACTTTTGTAAAGTCCCAAATCCTAGTAAGTGCTGCCACAGTGACCTTCATAGTATTTAAATCGGATCATGCCATTCTTTTGCTGCATTTCTTCCAATGGTGTCTGCCACTGGCCAACCAAACTCCTTTGCATGAAATACATAGTCTCCACAATGTGACCTCCGTCTTTTTCCACTGTCTTTTTCCATCAACAATGTTTAGGTGACATCCATTGTGTGCCAGGCACTGTGCCATATCCACCCTCATTTCCGCGGCTTCTTCACAAACAACATGCTAACTATACTGAACAATTTGTTGCTTTCTTCTAGAAGGTAAGACCTGCAATCACGAGTCAGCCTAGAAAAATTTATCCTGCAAGATGCAACTTATATCATCTCCTGTGTTAATTAAGACTTTATTACCATTCTCTCACCCCCATCCTAGAAGCAAAGCTTGATAAATTTCTTCTTTGATTCCTTAACACATTGCTGTGTAAGAATTTCCTTAGATGACTCTCTGTACTGAACTAGTCCCTCAGTAGTCAAAAGAGGAATGTGTTTTCACAATTATTATAGTAAGAGAATTAGTTTTCATTTATTATTATTATACAATAGAGGCCCGGTGCACAAAATTTGTGCACTGGGGTTGGGGGGTGTGTCCCTCAGCCCAGCCTGCACCCTCTCCAATCTGGGACTGCTGGCTCCCAACTACTTGCCTGCCTGCCAGCCTGATCATCCCCTAACCACTCCCCTGCCAGCCTGATGGACGCCTAACTGCTCCCCTGCGTGGCCCGATCGCCCCCAACTGCCCTCCCCTGCTGGCTCAG